TAACTTTTGAAAATGTTCCGGAAGGTCTGACACTTTTATATATATCTTAAATTAAAGCTAATGTAATGTACTTTAATTTGAAAAAAAAAAATTTGACCTCTGGACTTGTCTTCACGGCGAAAATGGCTACCGAATGCTATTTTCGTGTGAAAATTCTCGATTTTATTATTTATATAATATTTAACTTTATAATGCTATAACTTATTAAAAAGTGTATGGATCAACACAATTTTTTTATGAGAAATAATATTTTTTAATAATCCCTTTTTCATTTGATATACTCTATCTTAATCAGGATATTAATAAGGAAATATAAGATAATGTAGCTTTTGAAATAAAACACCAATTTTTTTAAAATTTAACACTATCTAAAGATTTGCATTGAAGCGTTTATTTTAGATAGTGATTTTAATCACTGTCAGATATCATTATACTTGATCCAACTATGCCACGTCACCACTGTGCCGCGACCCCCCTGTGCTGGGTTTTTTACATTTATCGTGTACCTTTAACGTTATCTAAATGAAACTTTTTTGATCCAATGAAGTAATTGTAAATAGAATTATTACCATTTATTGAACATTATTTCCTCAATATATATATTAAGTAATATTATTGGACAATAAATCTATAGATTAGCATTAATTACAACGTCCCATGCAGTTGATAAACTTTTAGGAGTACCAGAAATACCCGCTTGAACTGGTATAGAAATATGCTCCGCTATTTATGAAGTTATTGATAGCCAAACTTATAAGTAAAAAATCTCTAAAGATGTTTAAAAGATTCAATATAAATAGATATTATAAATATAAATCGCACATATTTATTGTTCATTATATTGTTATTTATATTATATTATATTATTATATTTATTATATTATATTGTTTATTATTTATTGTTCATAATAATAACAAAAATTTTATTGCCGTTTATAAATAAGAAACCCTATTAAAAATATAACTATACAAAACTAAAGTTGTGTTTATTCTATAATATGCGAAATCACATATATTTTGTTATTTTTCCGAGAATGAGTTCACTTTACAAAAAAATATTAAGAGACTATTTTTTTAAAACGTGTTTTGTACTACATTTATTATTCTATAAAATTTTTTGTAAAATGAAAATTGTAACGACTATATGTGTAAAACAACGGATTTTACGAATTTACACAAAATTTTAAGCTCAAATCAATACGTGTTAAAGTTTTTCAAATGGGCTGAAACTTGACATGATTTATATTTAAGGTATTTCTAATAAAACTTTGACCGGCACCCATAAGAATTACAGATGTTGAAAATAAGTGGCACCCTAACACTCTAGTGTATTCTCTATACTGTGTCTCTATAGTCTTAACTTTTCTTACTTAGTTTAAAACGTACATTTTAAAAATAATATAACATACCTACTATAATTTTAACAACACTCTTAACAACTACAAGTCAACAATCGACATTCTATCATCATCAGTGAATATCAGGTAAGAGTAGCTTTAACACAAACTATACTAATCAAGTAAGAACTAGAAATCAAAGTACTTGAATTAATTATGTCATTTACGGATGATGCTATTACCATTCTTCTTTATTAACACCATCCCCATCAACTTTATTTTTAGTTAACACAAAACTTTCCTAAAAGTTAAGAAGATTCAGAGAATGAAATTTAAAAAATCAAACACTAAATAAATGTACACCTACTAAACTAATAAGTAATTTTTGATTGAACTTAATTTATAAATATGACAATCTTCATTAAAAATAATAAAAATTATAGTTTATGAAGTAATAAATGTATTTTTACAAATTTTTTTTTAATGTATAAATCTATACATATGTTATTCTAATAAATATCATAGCTGATAAATAAATTGACAAGGAACCAAATTGCAAGTCCTCCATAAATCATTCCATATACAAGAAACTGCAAATTAATATATATATATATATATTTATAATTTAAATTTAAGTATAATAATTAGAACACACGTAATTAGTTTATTTCTATAATGTCATAAAGCCATGAAAAATTTAAAATCAATTTGATCAGATTAAAATTTTATTTTTTTAATTTCTGTCCCTGTGTTCAGAAATGAGACATCGACATCTAAAAACCAGGTTAGATTTATGACTGGTAAGCAAGAGCCATTATTTTGTGTGAGATAACTAAAAGAAAAGTATTTGAAAATGAAAAGCTGTTTATGTTGTTTATATATTTAGAAAAAGCGTATGATACTGTATCAAAAGAGGGTTTAAAATAGGCATCAATGAGAAAAGAAGTCGCAAAAAGGTAACTTAATACAATAAAGGATATGTATGATGGCACAAGGGCCAGGGTCAAAAGCGTAGGAGTATCAGAAGGTTTTTGGATAAGAGTAGGAGTGAAGGTTCTGCTTTAAGCTTTTACTTATTCTCTATAGTGATGGATGAAATTACTAGAGAAATACAAGGAGAGGTGCCGTGCTCCATGTTGTTTGCTGACGATATAATGTTAATAGGAGAAAATAGGGAGGAAATTAATCAAAGGCTAAAGGTGTTGAAGAAAGGAGTTTAAGAATAAGTAGGAGTACGACATAGTATATAGAGTACGAGTTTGTCAAAGGAGAACACGGGGTGAAATTAAGAGTTTAGTGACAATAGCCGAGGACGTGATAGGATTTATGATTAGTTGTGCAAAAGAGGGGTGGTATTAACGAGGATATAAGACACCGAATTAAGTGCGGATGGTTAAAGTGGAGAGAAGCGTAAGGTGTGTTATGTGATAAAAGAATTCCAATGGAGCTGAAAGGTAAATTATATTAAACTATAGAGAGACTAGCTATGATGTATGGTTCAAAGTGTTGGGCGATTGACAAGAAAGTAAAACAGAGATTGAGTGTAGCAGAGATGAGATTGCTTAGATGGATGAGTGGAGTGACTAGAGAAGATAGGATAAGTAATGAGCATATAAGAAGGAGTATAGGTGTAGTGTCAATCGTAGATAAGATGAGAGAAAATATACTTGGATGATATGGTCATTTTATGGGGAGAAAGGAATCGGAAGCTGTAAGAACAGTTATAGAAATAAATTCTGAAGGAAGAAGAGGTATAGGAAGACCAAAAAAGAGATAGAGGGATGTAATTGAATATGAGGACGGCTGATGTGGGCGTAGATAATGTGGGAGATCGTGTCAAGTGGAAGTTTAGGACAAGGGTGACTGACCCCAAGTAGTTATAATTAAGGCGAGGATAAAGAAAATTTATTTTTTTAATTTTGATTTTAATTTTATTATTAATTTTAGTAATTGAAAATTATAATTAGTTGAGATATTTTATTAATATGTGAACCAATTTATGCATGAATATTTAATAAAATTAATTATTGATAGATAATGAAGAAAAAATAATCATAGAACATTAACACTCTTAGCGCCACATTACCTTAAATTTACTCATTGTATTAATTGTTTATGTAGATTGCAAATAATAAAATAAACATTGAAAAAATTGCAAAGGTTGGAAAAATTTGTTAACGGGCTCCGATTAGAAAAAAAAAAAAATTAAATACCTCGGTGACATTATTTTGGGAAAATTATTCATCAACGAAAAACACAAATAGTACAGATTTATAAATTGTATTTGATTAATGATTATAAAGTTTTCTTTTACAAAACTGTTGTGCTAAATAATAATTAGATTATTATTATTAATTATAATTTAATAATAAGTGGGACAGTGTGGCCGAGTCGGTAAGGTAGTACTTGACGGGCACTGTCTCGGGTTCAAAACTCTGTCACGTACGGCTTCATATGCCGAACAAGAGATCAGTTCGGTAATTAGAGTCGCCATCCCTCTCTCCTGCAACGGACTAACCATCCATCCCGGAGTATCAATAGTTCAGAAACCTCCTCCTTTGGGGAGGCCGCAATGGCTTTTAATAGGCATAAAAAGCAATATAATAGGCATATCATATTATATGTTTTTATCATCATTATATTATTTTAAGGTATTGAAACGATAACATATTTAATACTATTCGTGCAAATCACTTATTGCGCCCGACGTAACCCTGTACTACCAATGGAATCTGCAATATAACTGTAGGCCCCCGAGTCTGGGGCGGAGTTTAGTATTTATATTAATTAGTAAATTAATGAAGTATATTTAACAATTTTTATAACTCAAATATAACTTACTTGTGTATTTGTTGGAAGTACAAAAATTGATCCTTGAACAATTACGAAAGTAAATAAACTTGACATACACAACTCAAAAAAGTAATTTAGTCCTATGATAAAAGCAAAACTGTCATGTTGTAAATATTTTGCTGTTTCAGACCTAAAAAAATGAACAAATTAACTACAATTATAGTATATTAACAGAAGATGATCTAACGGGTGCTACAACGCTAAGCATGGAAGTAATAAGCCAAAAATCTGAATTAGATTTCCTATACAAACAAAAAATTTTTTCTTACACCCTCTATGAAAAAATTTTAAATGCTCTCCATTATATAAATACATTTTTTATTCTTGCCCCACTATGAACCGCATTAGCTAGTATCTCCTCGAAGAGGAGTTTCTTAAAGTAGTATATACAGAGATGTTTCGTATTCAATAACGCATCATAATTTAGTTGGGTAATTTATAATAATTTTTAAACTCAATTAAAATTAATATTTGTAAAATTTGTAAATTAATACAGAATTATTAATAATAATAATTTTTATTATTATTTACAAATTCGCATCGAAGAGCGTTTCTTATGATAGTGATTTTAATCACTATCAGATATCATTTATACTTGTCCCAACTATGGCGCGCTCCCACTGTGCTATTTATAGAGAAATATTCAAGTGGTATTTATATAATTTTATACATATAATTATAATTATAAAGTACTTAAAAGTTACCTCGCTATTGTGAACATTGACTGGTAAATTATAGTATACAAAATATACATCAAATATATCAAGTTCAGTGAAGTTGTTAGATAAGTCAGTGAAAGTACAATACAACAAAACATGCATCCAATAAAAAAATATAAATTAGATATTCTTTTCCACTGTAGATTTAAGAATCCTAAACAATATGTAGAAAATGCACCTAAAATTCAAGAACAAAAAAAACCATCATTAAATTTTCAATATTAATTACTTTGAATTATTTAGTATTTGGAATTTATTAAAACAAATAGTTAATTAAAAATGAACTAAATCCTTAAACGTAAATTGGATGAAGTAGAACTTACATAATAAATTATTTTGACAAAATCTAGTTTTATATAAATGTGTTATATAATACATAATACAAAATTACTATTGTTTTTAATTTTAGCTCATACCCGTAATAAATGCCAAACTATCCACAGCACCATTGTATAATTTATTATTCACTGGATCACTTTTATTTAAATCATTATAAAAGACATCTTTGTACGTCATCACCTACATTTCTGCGAATATTCATAGTAAGTAAATGTAAAAACTAAAATTTAATCATTCGCTTTATAATACTTATAATTGTGGACCATTATTTACATTTTTATAATTTATATTAAATGTTTTATATAAAAAATTATTTATTTATTAATATAATTAAATCAATTTTAATTGAATCATAAGAAATTTTCTTTAAAATTCGCCAATGAGTATAAAAAAAATATTTATTGTATATTATAGTAAATACTTTTAAATCATTTAATAAACGGCCCACGGGTCTCTACCCTCATAACCAGTGTCGACTACATTTTTGCGACGTAAGTCGTGTCAGTACCAGTGGAAAACCATATTAACATAAGTATTACTTCGTAAGTGTAAAAAACAAAATTACTTCATTGTGTTAAAGTATAATTCTGTAAGTCTATAATAATTACTGACAGTGTATGAATTCAATATTTTAAGAGTTTAACATTTATAATAAATTATATGCTATATAATATTTAGTATGTAATATGTAAAAATTCTCTCTATTTGATCTCCAACCTTAATGTTTTCAGTAGTACCCATTGCCCTTTATATTATTATTGTTTTGTACGAGGCAACTGGACCGTTGAACGGCTAGTTGTGCACCGTACTAGAATTCACTTTTACCTTAAGCCTGTTTAAATCACAATTATTGATGAGGGTGTGAGTCACCTAGGGGATGACGGCTAACGGTACATCCAATAAGTAACGAGAGTAGACAATAATTAAATAAAAAATAACCACATATATTAGAAATTCTTTAGAGAGTATCTTAAATTTAAGGTGTATCGTGGTGCCCTTAATACTAATGGCCGACGAAGCAGCATAAACAAAATAATTATACTCAATTAAAAAAAACAATAAATAACATTAAAAAATACTATAAAACTCAGCTGAACAGATGAAATTGTTGATAGTGATGAGTGTACTGTATAAGATCTTGTGGCAATGGTGTCAAACATCTGAGTATGACGAGTCAGAGTGTAGATCCAGACACGTAATAGCAGACGAGAACAAACGGCGGAAAAGCGACTACGGTTATGAAGATTTTTAGTGGTGGTCAGGGCCCAATCACTAGTGACGTGCAACGACACGAAAACTTTGAGCACAAGAGTGCAATAAACAAATAAAAGAATAACGGCGTACAATGGTCGAACAATTTACCATTCAATCGAAGGCGATTGCTACAGAAGAAAACGACACAAAAAGACTTGCTGACTTACGACGATGAAATGTACACGGAAGTCATCAATTTGCCGTGCTGGTCGGGCAAGGGGTGAGTAAAGCAAAGACGCTAGAGATCAGCTGTCACACGATATAATATAATCAACGATGTTTGTAACAACTGGTCTACAAGATCTTTGCTAAAGACGTTCTGTACCAAACAATTATTTTTATTTTTTTAAATATGTTTAAATTATAACTAAGTTTTATATGTTTATTAGTGACTTGTCAATAAAAACTATATCAGAAGTAAAAGTTTTTGAAGTGAAAACTTCTTTTGAGAAGCTCTAGATTTCATAGGAGTAAATTGGTCAAACGAGTTTGCAATACTGACAATTGTAATCCAGAATATCTTTATACAAACATTCTATATGAATATATATACGTAAGGAAGTGTAACATACAAATATGAAAAATGAATAAAGAACTGATTATATAAAAAAATAATTATACGTGCCGTGTCATTATTTATCATACACTAATTCAATTATGTCTGACATTTCTAAATTTAATTTTAACCAATAACCAATGTTTATTAGTAGAAATTTTCATCACTTCTATCTACCGTCTCAAGACTGTAAGTTAAGTTTTTTTATATTAGTATTTTTCCATAAGATTAATGATATACCCGAATTGCTCATTTATTTTCTATTAAGATTCTATTGTTCAGGTAACTTCATGGGTTATGTTTTTGTTACTTAACTAAAGTTAAAACTAAAATAAACTTAACTAAATAATAATTCATAACTATTAAAAAATTTATATTTATATTTTTATTTTGAAACTTTGTGTGACGTTATCCATAGTCTTTTTAGCTAATTTTGTTAATAAGTTAATAGTGTCATTAATTTTACTACATTAAAGTTTCTTTTAGTTACATATCAGCATAAATAAACACAACTTAGATTTTTTCATTGTTATAATTTAAATAAGAAACACTAAACTTTAAATTGGAAAGTTGCTTTAATTTTATTAAAATAGTTTTTGACAAATTTAGACTTACAAAAAATGTATTTATAAATAAACAATATGGAATGTATTATTATTATTTATAATTATTACGATATGTTCAATATATATTATATACGCACCTGAAAATAAACTCCACCTGCTATTCCTGTCCATATAGAGTACTTTAACAAATATGGGTTATAAAATGTATCTTTTAACTCTGAATACAACTGCTGTAATACAACCCGAATAGATGTAGCCGTTTCAGGCGTATTAAAATATTCACACGAGTCCTTAAATAATAACAAGACAACTATAAAAAATTTGTTTATTACCAATTTACAAATATCGATAAATATTCAATTTTAATTAAAATACGAAAATTTATAAATAAGTTCCAAAACTTTCAAAAATCTTTTGCAGTATAAAAACTTTTAAACTAATATATAATACGTTTAACATTATACATTATGATATAATATAATATAACGCATAATATATTATGCATTATATATTATACACGGCGAATGATATATCGTATTAAATGCAATTTAAAAAAACTCAACCCAAATCCTAATGAAATTTTACTAGTTTCAATAAGCTTTCTTCTAGTATACATTATAAGAAAATCAAATAAAAACCGAAGAACAGGAAAGGATTTGAAAATATCATACCTAATAAGAATGTTAACTTTAATTTTGCAAATGGGAACATATATAATTAACTATTTTATTTATTAAATAACGATATAATTAATAAAAAACTACTCGATAACAACTTTTGGATCGATACTTCAGAAGTAATTAATGTTTATATATCTAGGTAGCAAAAGTGACACGTTACCAAGGTTAGCGGCAGTTCCACCTATAGATCTATTGGCAGAGGAGAGGAGAGATTTGCATGAATGGAGAGCCTCGGCGGTAGACATCAATACAGATTACAGGAGGGTGTTGAGACAGCGAACGATAGGAAAGTGGATGAGGCAAGTACAAGACTCCACAAAAGGGGAGTGGACTAAAAAATTACTTCACAACAATCTGGAGGAGTGGGTTACAAGGAGACACGGGGAGGTGGACTTCCACCTCACGCAATTGCTGTCCAACCATGGGTGTTTCTCCAGCTACTTATACAAAATAAGAAGGCTGGAGACTAGCTCATGTTGGAGCTGTAACCACTCGGAGGACGACGCTTTACACACTCTGTGGCGGTGTCCCAGGTGGGAAACTATGCGCCATCAAATGCGGTGCCAGATTGGATATGGTGAGGAAAATGATATTATATCCAAAATGTTGGAAAATAAAGAAAATTGGTTGGCAGTGCAAGTATTTGCAAATACGGTAATAGGAGCCAAAGAAGAGTTAGAAAGGGAGATGCAACGGCAGCAGCAGGGGCGACGGGATCTGTGATCCGGCCAAAGAATACGATGGAGAATGTATATAGAAGACAAATATTGTATATAGGATTACAGGAAATACGTTGTTAGAATACAATTATCATGATTTGTAAATAACTTAGTAGTATGTACCGATGTAAATATAGATCAAGCAGATCGATTGTATTGTAAATAGTTTAAGATAAATGTAAATATGTTGATTTTGCTAATAAACGGCAACGGCCTAACCGGGGGAAGTAATGCCTAACGGCTGGTTCCCCCCGGAATGGCTACGGTTGCATATGCCCGAAAAAAAAAAAAAAAAAAAAAAAAAAAAGAA